GGGAGGAAGGGAAAGGATGAGGAAAGGAAGAGAAAGGAAAGAGGAAGGGAAGAAGCAAAGAGGAAGGTAAGGGAAGGGAACGGGGAAGAGAAAGGGAAGGAAAAGGAGAACAAACAGAAGAAAAGAGACGAGGAAGGATAAGGAAGGGAAAAGGTAAATAACAAAGGGAATGTAAGGAAAAGAAGTTATTGAAGGATGGGGAAGGAAAAAATGGGTAGAGAAAGGGAAGGAAAAGGTATGAAAGAGAAAAGTTAGGAATGGAAGGGAAAGGCTTGAATATAAAGAAGTAAAGAATAGGGGAATGCAGGGAAGGGAAGAGCTAAAGCTCTTAATTTCTAAATAACCATATTTTCCATAAAATCGCAAAATAATTAGTCATTTAACCCAATAGTTATAATGCATTCCAAAAAATATTAAATTTCATTAGCTACGCGAACATTTATATTACCCAAAAAATTGGGCTGACACTTTTTACACTTACTTTGTTAGTTGAACAGCAGAATGGGTAAATTACTTTACCGCTCTGCATGCTTCTCATGGATTTACTAGGAATTGTTTTGGTCCAGTTGGACATAACTCCTGCCTTGACTACTTCCCTAGGAGTATATTGTTTTGTCAAGCAATGTTTGAGAGTATGATATCTTATTAAGCTATTTACAGGTGTGTATATATTAGAATACATACACCCCCCCCCCCGGGCTTGTAAATTGAAAATGAAAAGACATTTTTTTAAAACAAATTTTTAATTTTGCAAAAAACCTAATTTTATTTTTTATTAAAAATTTGGTTTTACCAAAAATAAGGGAATATTATTGTTTAAATGTTAGCACTGCTCACATGCATAAACGAGGAGGGGGATTTATTTTTCAAGTAAATATATATCCCTGTTTAATTGCCACATTTCTACACATTTTAAAACCATTTATTCATACAGGGATGTAGATTGTAGACCTTAAAATCCGTTTAAGTTTTCAGTTTAAATAAACAATTAAACCTTTAACAGATAATTATTCCCTCAATATGCAATTTAGTTATTGATAATTTACCTGTCTCGACTACTATAGATCTCATCCATGCATACAGGTTCTTCTTTGAGCGTTTTGCAGAAACTTGCCATACTTAGTCCTTGCATATAAAGTAATTTGTATTAATGTTAATATTATTTTACTCGCAAAATATTTCCATGTCATGCCGAGGGAATGAAATTGGAAATGAACTATTTGTACGCAGAAGTGCAAGATAAGGTAGAGTGCTAGTGAATGGAAGAGGGAAAACAAATTAAATAGAAAGGAACAGTAAAAAGAAAGATGAAATAAAAGGAAGGGCAAGTGGAAGAAATATTAAGAAAAAAAAAATAAGATATCCCTTACCCAAATCATTTGTAACTTCATCCTTAGACTTATTGTCACACAGGAACAGTCTACAAATTATTGAAATGAATATAAAATCTATGAAAAAGGTCATCCAACTATCAGTTCTTTATGTATTTTTAATTTTCTAAAGTTTCCTATTTTCATCCAGTTTAATTTCTCCGGAAAAATGCTGATCACATAAATAACACATCTCATGTAGATTGAATGGCATCATGACCCCCATGACAGTTGCTGGCTGCTAGCTTGCGACAGAGTGTTCTAATAATTTCTTACTTTACAATTGAACACAACCTGTTCAATAAACAAGTAAACAAATTGAACAATGAACATTTCTTATCTGTGATCAGTTAACCCCATGGCAAAAATACAATTTAATAGCGTGCCACTCAGAATGTCTACAAATTAATTTTGACCTTGGATTTTCTCATTTCCTTCTCAAAAATTAACTGTAAATCAACATACGACATGTACAATGTCTGGTTATATGACAAATAATGTAACATCTGGTTAATAGTGCGCGACTCAGAATGCTATGATGCTATTTTGTAGTTTTGATATTTTATTGGTTTTAAATCATAAAAACTTCAAAATATTTTTTCAAACGCATGCAATTTTTCCCCCCTAAATTATTAATGGTTTACTTGTTTAAAATTGTTATGGAACTAGTTAAATTTAATTTAAGTGGTTTAGTGAATTTTTTTTAAAGTATTGTATCTCACAAACATCGAGCGCACACACTTTTGCTATGACTTGAATAAATTGACTGAAAGTAAGTATGTCAGTTTATTATGTGGAAAATATTCACACGCTTAAAGCTAAAGTAAAGGGATATTTTTTTTTTATTTTAAAAATTTAAATATTTTTTTAAAATTTATAACTAAAAATTACTTATCATCAGTGCACTGACTTATTAACACACTTACTTCATTAGTCTCATGAGCACTCCCTTCCCAGTACCAGTATTCTCACTTTGGACAACTGAAAAACCAAATTATTTTTATAATTCTTATTTTTCAAACCAAACTTTTTTTTTTAAATATTTTAATAAATGTGGGCAAAGTGTCTGTCTGTCTGTCTGTCTGTCTGTCTGTCTGTCTCTCTGTCTCTCTGTCTGTCTGTCTGTCTGTCTGTCTATNGATAATATCCCCGAGAAAGCTAATTATTACTTAGGTTTACTCCAATTCTAATTTTATATTTGTTATTTCTATTTTTAATAGATTTAATTCATAATATTATTTACACGTCCGAATTACTTCACCAGAAAATCCACCAATGACAGTGCAGTACAGTGGTCACGTGATACAGGCAGAGACACGTGATCAGTATACTGCTCTGCCATTGGTGAAAGTTCTGGTCACGTGATTTAAGTTTAAGATTTTCTAAATTTTACATATATGAATTTTCATATAATTTTAACACAGTTTTATATCAATTTCTCGAGACAGGAACATCAGATAAAACTTTCATGGGTCGCGATCAAGAGCTAAAGAGATTAGCTTTTAACCTATACCCCCTTTCATTTTTCCTTTACTGTCCCTTTAACCCAATTAAATTTTTAAAGGGACTGTAAAAGAAAAATTAAAGGGGGTTTAGAATGAAAGACATATACGACATCTATCTGATGTTCCTTTCTTGAGAAATTTATATAAAACTGCGTCAAAATTATACCAAAAAGTATATATATCAAATTTTGAACAAATACACACATATGGTCTGTCTGTATAGTCCATATTACATCACCAGAAGTTCCACCAATGTCTACGTCTGTGTCTCGTGACCAGTGTGCTGCACTGCCATTGGTGTAAGTGCTGGTGATGTAATACGGACTATTCAAACTGTACGTAATAATATTATTAATTATATCTATTAAAAGCAAAATAAAAATTTAAAAATCATAACAGGAGCAGATATGAAATTCTCATGCTCCTGTTGGATATAGTAGTTTTAAGATAGGTTGCATATTTGTTTAATACAGTCTGTTAATATTATAAATCATATTCAAATTCTGATATATATACGTTTTGGTATAATTTTGACACATTTTTATATCAATTTCTCGAGCCAAAAAAATCAGATACATGTCTTATATATATATATATCGTTCAACGCATTGGATTTTGAGGTTTCATCCGATACCCCCCATTCAGTTGTCCTTGACAATCCCTTTAAACTTGATTACATCACACATTAAAGAATCTTCATCTGTGAGTATCTTCAAAAGAAGATACGACGAATATTAAAAGAATCAGTAAGCTGCTGTAAGAGACATGCAAAACATGAAAGAAAAAAATGAACCAGTCAGAACAATCACAAAAATCATCTCAAAATAACTCTATGAGTTCCTGAGGATTAATCAATAATAAACAATAAACAAGATAACAACTTTTAAGTGGGCCTACTGAATTCACTGACAAAAATTGGAGGACAATCTTCCGTGTGGCACATGAGTTATGATCGGACATCCCAAATTAACAGACATACAGGCCACAGGAGTTTTTTTTGGGGGGAAGGGGGGCAATAGGGGCAAACCCCCCTCCAATAGACAAGTTAAATGTTTAAGTTAAGTCAATGGTTTTCTTGAGGTTTTCAAGCCCCAATGGGGACGTTGATCCCTATTTATTTTTTATTTTTTATCAACATTTATTCAATAATTTATTTTTCAATTCCTCACTACCCTCACTACCACCGACAAGTTGAAACTTTTTTTTCAACATTTATTCAATAATTTATTTTTCAATTCCCCACTACCCTCACTACCTCAGACTTTTTAAAATCTATATATCAACATTTTTTTCAAATTTTTTTNATCACGGTTCCCCAATCAAAACTGAATTTTGCACTTTAATGTATTTTATTTGAAAATACTTAAAAATATTTCTTCAGGTTCACCACGCTTAGTTTGATGTAAGATATACAATGGATGAAAACTGTAGACTATAACGGTTAACAATATTTATACTTTAGCTTAAATGTAGACTTGTCGTTCACTTCGACAAACTATTCCTCCTCTTTTAGTAGACATATCTTTCCCCCAAAGTTCTACCTCCCTTATATGTAAACATACCTTTCATCACTCACAGTTCTACCTTATTTTAGTAGACATAGATCTCCTCCCTTCTTTCTGTAGATATATCCCCCCCTTTCAGTTCTATACTTTTATTTAGTAGACACACCTTACCCCCCTCCCCTTTGGCCTCCCTTCCCTCATGGTTCTACCTTCTTTCTGTAGACGTTCTTTAGACTACCCTTCCTTCCTTGAAGCTCAACCTTGTTTCTGTAGACGTTCTTTAGACTACCCTTCCTTCCTTGCAGCTCTACCTTCTTTCAGTAGACGTGCTTTAGAATATCCTTCCTTCCTTGCAGCTCTACCTTCTTTCTGTAGACGTTCTTTAGACTACCCTTCCTTCCTTGCAGTTCTACCTTCTTTCTGTAGACGTTCTTTAGACTACCCTTCCTTCCTTGCAGTTCTACCTTCTTTCTGTAGACATTCTTTAGACTACCCTTCCTTTCTTGCAGCTCTACCTTCTTTCTGTAGACGTTCTTTAGACTACCCTTCTGTTCTTGCAGGTCTACCTTCCTTCCTTGCAGCTCGACTTTCTTTCTGTAGACGTGCTTTAAACTACCCTTCCTTCCTTGCATGTCTACCTTCTTTCTGTAGACGTGCTTGAGACTACCCTTCCTTCCTTGCAGGTCTACCTTCTTTCTGTAGAGTTCTTAAGAATACCCTTCCTTTTTTGCAGGTCTACCTTCTTTCTGTAGACGTTCTTTAGACTACCCTTCGGTTCTTGCAGTTCTACCTTCTTTATGTAGACGTTCTTTAGACTAACCTTCGTTTCTTGCAGTTCTACCTTCTTTCTGTAGACGTGCTTTAGAATACCCTTCCTTGCAGCTCTACCTTTATTCTGTAGACGTGATTTAGAATACCCTTCCTTCCTTGCAGCTCTACCTTCTTTCTGTAGACGTGATTTAGTAAAACCTTCCTTTCTTGCAGTTCTACCTTCTTTCTGTAGACGTGCTTTAGAATACCCTTCCTTCCTTGCAGGTCTACCTTCTTTCTGTATAGTTCTTTAGAATACCCTTCCTTCCTTGCAGTTCTACCTTCTTTCTGTAGACGTTCTTTAGACTACCCTTCCTTCCTTGCAGCTATACCTTCTTTCTGTAGACGTTCTTTAGAGTACCCTTCGTTTCTTGCAGCTCTACAATTCTTTCTGTAGACGTTCTTTAGATTACCCTTCCTTTCTTGCAGTTCTACCTTCTTTTTGTAGACGTTCTTTAGACTACCCTTCCTTTCTTGCAGTTCTACCTTCTTTCTGTAGACGTGCTTTAGAATACCCTTCTTTTCTTGCAGGTCTATCTTCTTTCTGTATACGTTCTTTAGACTACCCTTTCTTTCTTGCAGCTCTACCTTCTTTCTGTAGACGTTCTTTAAACTACCCTTCCTTTCTTGCAGCTCTACTTTCTTTTTGTAGACGTTCTTTAGACTACCGTTTCTTTCTTGCAGCTCTACCTTCTCTCTGTAGACGTTCTTTAGACTACCCTTCGTTTCTTGCAGCTCAACCTTCTCTCTGTAGACGTTCTTTTGATTACCCTTCGTTTCTTGCAGTTCTACCTTCTTTCTGTAGATCTTCTTTAGACTACCCTTCCTTCTTTGCAGCTCTACCCTTCTTTCTGTAGACGTGCTTTAGATTACCTTTCCTTCCTTGCAGCTTTGCCTTCTTCCTGTAGACGTTCTTTAGACTAACCTTCCTTCCTTGCAGCTCTGCCTTCTTCCTGTAGACGTTCTTTAGACTACCCTTCCTTCCTTGCAGCTCTACATTCTTTCTGTAGACGTTCTTTAGAATACCCTCCCTTTCTTGCAGGTCTACATTCTTTCTGTAGACGTTCTTTAGACTACCCTTCCTTTCTTGCAGGTCTACCTTCTTTCAGAAGACGTGCTTTATAATATCCTTCCTTTCTTGCAGTTCTACTTTCTTTCTGTAGACGTCTTTAGACTACCCTACCATTCTTGCAGCTCTACGCTCTCTCTTTAGATGTTCTTTGGAATATCCTTCCTTTCTTGCAGCTCTACTTTATTTCCCTTCATTTTAACCTTCTTTCTTTCTTCACTCTTTGTCTATTATAAGGTATATTGAGGTATCGGCCTAGTGAAAAGCTTTGATCAGTTCTTATGCCTGGTATCTTCTTTATGCTGATAACAAAATGGATGAAGATGATTTAGTAAACAGACGAGGCAGATAAGTCCAATCAAGGTACTAATGCAAGGAAAGTTATTTCAGAGTTGTACGCATCTTTTGTACTGCAGTGTAATGTCTCTGGGCGGTTATGTAAACACAAGACGGGTGTCACAGACTGACATGGGATCCATCTTTCACGTAAAAGTTCAATGAAATATTCTGGTCAACGGAAACTATTATGTGAATTATCAAAATTATCAAAATTAAATGATTTTATCCTCCTCGGATACTAAACAAACACTGATGCATCTATACTTGATTACAAATACAAATTCAGCCCAGTGAGAACTGGTTTCAATATGTACGCAGAGTATACGCAACTGCAATTAACTTTCCTTGCATTATAACCTTGAGTTAAATCATGAAAATAAACTGATAGTTACAATCATAACCTAGTTTAGATATCGTTTACGTCATTTCGTTAAAGAGTTTCCCTGCATGTGAATATTTGCCACAAAGTCCCATTTTCTAATCCCCATGTCTATGGAACCCTTTTATATGTCAAACTTAGATAATTTTGATCTTACAGAATTCATAGTTTGAAATTTCTAAGATCTACGACATTTTGTTGCAAAGATGGATTAGAAAATCAGAGTTAGTGACTGAGACTCGATCCTTTGTATTTTTAGATTATTAATTTTGTTGATAGGTTAATTAGTTTGTTAATTGATTGATTGACTGATTGATTAGTTACTGATTTATTTATTGACTGATTGATTGATTAAAATCTGTATGTGTTGTATATTATT